ATAGATACACGGATGCAAAGGTATAAATAATGATGTAATATTTATGTGCAGGCTAACAAATTCTTGTTATTGATATTAAATGCAAGTTATCTTACCAAGTCTTATGTTCTATTTTTGTGTATTATGTGTATTTTTAGTGCTTTTATCTTGCAATATTTTGATTTAACTACTCATTTTGGGAAACCCTTAAAAAAAAGGCAGAGCAGAGAAAATAATGTATCTTTTAGTGCTTTCTTGTTCCTCGACATCAAACCAGGGGCGGATCCAGAGAATTTCTGACGGGGGGTTCGCATAAACAGAAGTTCACGCCGCTACGCCCACCTCAGCCCTACTATGGTTGGTGTAAATAAGTGGTAAATAGCACTCCTTTTTTTCCTCTTTCCTCTCTTTAACTAACATTTTTCTCCGGAGCTCTTTTTTGATTTTTCGGCTTGACTGGAAGGCATCTTTAAGGTCATCCATCCCAGTACGGGAAGTGCAGCCAGTACAAAGCACTGGGACTCAGGGCTATTAGGGCGGGCCCATTCATAAATAGACCTAAAAATAATAATTAAGATATTATTATCTTTTGCTTAACTTAAATTTGGAGAAGAAAAAAAACTGGCAGCGGAACCCTTAATATAATAATATTGAGGCCTACTATGTTCATTGGTGTATTCAAGGCAGGGGCCCCGGCTTGCCCGAAGTACCCCTAATATGATTTTTTTTTTAAATATGGGGAAAAGAAAATTATATTCATTGTAAGTCTAAAAGTGCCATTTCCGGCCTTCTAGAGGTGCTATAATCATAAATTTTCTTACCTCAGCCTCAGGATGAGGTGGTCTTCCTCGTCCACCTGTGAAAATCCCTTCCTGTTGGCCCCTCTTTTCGAATTCCCTGATCTCTGCCACTGCAATTGGTTAATTTTACGTGCCACCAATTCTTTTTAATAGCTTAACAGCTGCTGAAACCGAATATGCCCCTCTTATAATACCTAATCTAATTATAAATAGTATTTATTTCTAATAATAATAATAATAATAATAATTCCATACTTCTATTTTAGCGCATTCCGCAAAAAGCCTCAATGCTCTTGTACAAAACAAATAAAGAAAACAAGAAATAATTTTGACTTAAACTACGGTACTTAAACTAAAACAGTCCCAAAAAAAGCATTGCGCTATCGGTATTTGTATCGACAGGTCTCCAACCACCGATGTCGAAAACAACCTCGCTAACCTTTAGGAGTTTATAGGGGGTAGCACTTCTTAAGATGAATGCAGAGAACTAGGGAATTCTCCTATGACATCAAAGAGCCCGGCAATTATCTTGCACTGGGGCCCTTTCGCGCCACACTGCTGATCTATCCATCTTTTCTTTATTCGTAATTTTTTCGTTTTTCCATCTCCTTACCGTTCTGTAAATTTCAGTGTCCATTTATCGTCTTGCAAAAAAAAAAAACTGGTTTTGTTTGCAGTAATTATAAACTCCAGAATTCTTTCCCATCAGAGTTATGGTTTGGTCACCAATAGGTTAACTTTATCAATTCTACCAAATTTTCGCCGACCATGATTGTTTTCTGCCTCTGTTTGAAGGAGTTGGAGCATGCTTTCAATTTTAGCAAAGAGTTTTAGGCTGCTTTTTTTTTAATCATGTTATCATAGGACGGTTTGTAAGTTCATGATTTGTCTTTATAAATTGTACAATGTAACAATGAGAATTTGGATGTGCTCTCTTTTGCCATTCATAATAACATTATCTGTTCTTTCTGTTTTGATTAATTTTAAACATCCAATTAATCAGTATAGCGCCCTCTGTAGTAATTAACTGAATCGCGCCCTCTATAATATTTACTGGGCGTGCGTAAACGCAACACTCGTGTGTTGAACACCTTGAGATTGGAGTTGAAGTACGTTGAATTATTGGAAGATATCATCATAATCGTAGTTTTGATTACTAAGTGCAGGCAGTATATTTACTAATACGTGATTTATTTTCTGGTAAGTACTCATGTTAGCTGGTATCTTTAAGTTATACTAGAATGGGTATACAGTCTTCGGGGAAAGCGGTAAGCCTATGCCTGGCTCTTGCTTTTCCGTGGGCCTAAAACTAGCCTAGCTAGGCTTAGGCATAGGCTAGGTCGCTCTAGGCCGCTGACCATGACCTAGTCTCAGGCTAAATGCTGCTTTTCAGTGCACCCGTGATCAACGTGAATAAAATTCGTCAACCACGGTAATGGCAACGAAATGAATGAATGAAATCCGTTCCAATATGGTGGATGTTGTGTGCCTAATGAATATAAATATAATAAATTAAAGGCAGTACCAGCAATATAATATAATATATCGATATTTTTTCGGTCTGTCATCAAACCTCGAGAAACTGCCGCGAAGGTTCGGGAAAGAAACATTGCAACTTCCCAAACACCATGGCTGGCTATATAATGTTTACAAATTGGTGATACTTTCGATATAAAAGAATTTTAAGAAAACTATTGTATAAAAGTCCCATCCCGACAAAATTTCAGTTCTTAGAAATTTTTTATAATTAATATATTATAAATATTTATAAAAATCGTAATACGGAATTGCTAATAACTTTATTTAGACATTCCTAAATATTTAAAAAATGTGACTGAAATTTGATTTACTTGTGTTCCACACAAAAAATAAACGCGGATGAGTTTGTTATGTTTTGTTAGATTTTGCGTTAGGTCTGCAAAGAATTACACCTTGAAATACTGATGAAGTGCAAACAACTTCTTGAGGAAGGAGTTCCACCCATTTCATTCTACTGTAGAATTTCCATCACCAATATAATAATTAAAACAGTGCATTAAATCCAAAATGCATCACTTTGAATTTATTCGAATTAAATGGCAGCTGCCACTGAAGAGACCATTGGTACTGTAAAGAGCATCAATATCTGTTTGAAGAGAAACTCTATCAGCATCTGTCTTACCGTACGAAAGATTTTTGTTACATAGGCTAATAACCTTACTAAAGAATCAGAAATACTCTCTTTCATAATATGAAAATGACAAAAAAACAGAGGACCCTAAACACTACTTTGGGTGACCCAGCTTGTTACTTTACGCCACCCTGACTTACAGTACAACCATTTACAACTCTCTGTTCTCTATAGCTCAGAAAAGCCCTAATCCATGAAAGATTACCAGAAATGCAATAAGATTCCAACTTGGAAATTAATTTACTATGAGGTATCTTGTCAAAGGCCTTCTGAAAATCGAAGTACTGTACACACAGTCAAATGGTATCTACCTTGATCAAGCCACAGTGTCCATTGGATAGTCACTTCAATAAGTTGCGTAGCACAAGAACACAATGAAAACCATGTTGTTGGTCTTTAATTAAACTAATATTTTCCAAATGCCTATATAAATATCATCTTGAATGAATTTTTCAATAGTTTCAAACAAAATGGAAGTCAAGCTTATGGGTCCATAATGTAAAGGTGAACTCTTATCACCTTTCTTAAAGTCAGGCTGAGCATAGAGAAAATAGAACAGATCTATTTTCTCTATGGGCTGAGGAGGAAACAATTTTGTTGATATGTTGTAGTAGACCTGATTTTTCAAAGATAGAAAAAGTTGTTTTACGAAAAACTGAGGAACGTTGAATATTTAAAAACCGCCTTTTTTTACATCTAACCCAACCTAATACAATTTACAATAATAATTTTCTCCTAATTCATGGAAAAACTCAAAAGTAAATAATTTTGAAAATATTAAATATTTAAAATTGCATTTATTTTATATTAAAAAATATATTTAGACTATTAGGTAATAATTTAACTGTTAATGAATACAATTTGAATTTATTTGAGCAATCCTACAGTAGTGCAGGCTTCTAATTTTCCGTTATGTTCCGAACTATCCTACGTTAAAAAAATTGTTTGGGCAATCCTAGTTTAGGCTTTTAATTTTTGGTTAGGTTCAGTTGTAATCAGTGCTTCATCTAGTCGTGCGTACAATTTAATGCCGATATTTAACTCTTGATTGTATATCATGTATGATTTTAATTGGTAACCATCAAAGTTACACATATATTTAGGTGTATTCATACAGTCAGAACCTTAAAAATATTTTTTCATTTTTTAAATCTGTAACTTTCTAATTTTTTCAATTTGTTACACCATGGGGGAGGGGGTGGTTTACTCCGATGCTTTGGTTCAATTTAGCCCCTTTCTTTGTGGAATGATGTGAATTAAGCACCTCTCTACAGCACTTAATTTCAAGCCCTGTATACTACATGATTCAATAACTATCACAAGGTTTGGATTGGGTTTGCGGTGTGTTTTTGGAGGTTTGCAGGTTGTTTTTGGAGGTTTGCAGGTTGTTTTTGGAGGTTTGCAGGGTTTAGCAATTTTGTTATACAAAAAAGGCCTTTTTACCCCAAAAATAGGTTGCTACGAATGTAACATTATGATTTTTTTTATTGAGATACCAAATGAATCTTATACAGTACTACATGATTCAAACACTATCACAAGGTTTGGATGGGGTTTGCTGTGTGTTTTTGGAGGTTTGCGGTGTATTTTTAGATATTTTAAAGAAAAAATCAAGATTTTACCCCAAAAATAGATTGTTGTGAACATAAAATTATATTTTTTTTTATTACAACACCAAGTTGAGTTCTATACTATGTGATTCAATTACTATCACAATTTTTGGATGAGGTCTGCGGTGTGGATTTTTTTTTTTTTTTTTTTTTTTTTGGAGGGTTGCAGGGTTTAGCAATACCCCCAAAATTAATAAGATAAAGCAATCATCCTCTATAATATGTCCTTATTATTATTAAAATTATCAATAACAGACTTACTAAATATTATACAATCAGCCTATTACAGTATCTTTATATAGTTTCAAATTGCTTGCAATACAAACCAAGATATTTGTATGAGTTATGTTCATAAATGTGGCTACTGTAATGTAAATCTCATTGTCTTTTGGTTTGCATTACAGTATATGTTTGATTTTTTTTTCTGTTATTTTATTGTAGAGCGGCATGTTGGTACCGTTGGCCAGAATGTTAAGAAGCAGTGGTGTTCAGCTTTTGGATGAGTAGTAAAATTGAGAGTGTGGAAAGCAACAGCAAGAATACAATGTGCTGGTAAGTGGAAAAATATTTAATTTGTTTTATTCAATTGTGATGTAGGCTACTAGCCATACTGGAGCTAGTCTCTATTTTGTTTTAATAAATGTTATTTATTATAAAGTTAATTTTAAAATAAAATAATGCTGTTGGAAACATCCACCAATCAAAAAAAAAAAAAAATTGTATTATGTATGTGGTTCTTAGCTTATTCTGGTGTTATTAAATCACTCTGACATGCAGCACAAAAAATTGCATCAATTGCAATAAAATAGAAGACACAAAAAATGAATAAAAACAGTTAAATAAAAAAAAATATTCACCCAGTATCATGAAACTTCAATCTAATAACATGGAAGTAGCCATGCTACCAGAATGCTGTCCAAGGTTGGCAAGATTGATGATACTTAATACTTGGGATGTGTTATAGTCAAGTTTTATACAACTGATGAATGGTGTTGAATATATATATAAATACAAACCCGATGAAATGTTGTTATTTAAGAATTAATGTAAATTAATATTGCACATTTACTTTTAAACCATTTTTATTAATGTAAGTCTTAATATCTGTTGGTTAAAATTTAAATCTAATAATATCATTTTTTTTTATTACAGACTCTTTGCTAGTTGACTTATTTGCATAATTCACTAGACCGTGGCCTCATCACAATGATGTAATGATAATGAATATTCATTGTCAGACACTTAAAACTACAGAAGTCAGGAAACTGCTGAAATGACACCACAGCAAAAGCAACTTCTTGATAGCATATATCTTTCACCGCAGCAAGTCTCGCATGTGTAATGTCCTACTACCTCTTGGAAAGGCTGACTGTTCAGATTTGGACCAACATTTTAAAGTAAGAATCGGACCAACACTTAAGTTACTTATACCACTAACCTTCTTGATAAACAAGTCATCAAAAATTTGTAAATATAACAGGTAACAGGCAAAAATAAACAACAAATCATCAGTGTCTCAATTCAAATTTTATTTGCTGCATAAAAGTCATGACACCCGAAATAATGCAACGAGCACCCCGAGTAAGTCTGACTACGAAAAACATGATTGTACAGCGATCAAAGTGTCTATTTCTACATACTGTAGATAGCCTACTAGTACTACTTTGTACTAGGCCTAGTGACCATACTTAACCCTTTCCAGTCTGCCCCTTACCATTGTCTAAGCTGTACCACAGATGAGAAATTACACCTTCTGTACTAAATGTTGGGTTTGTACTGGGCGCAGCCATTTTATTTGAAAACTCTTCAGAATTACTCATACGTCACGCTCAAACAATTATATAGACGTCAGCATAGCTAGAAAACAAATTACCAGGAAATTTATACAGGGCTATAAAGTATGGTCAAAGAGGGTGTCAGACTGGAAAGGGTTAAAAAAAAAATTATGAACAAACACCTACTCTATAGAAAGATGTAATGGCCCTAATAAACCTTTGCTATTAAAACCCTTTCGTATCCGTAAGTCCCTGAAGCGCTCACTGATTATCGTAATTATTTAATTAACAATTTTTTTTAAATCGTATGTGCAGTATTGTATGCATGTTCACTAAAATAATTGGGAAAATATCAACAATTTTTATTGAAAAATATTTCTTATTGAAATTTTAATTAATTTTAATGATTAGAGTAATAAAAATATGAAATATGATCATTTTTTTATGTAATCTGCCGTAAAGATCGTCTAAAAATACACTTTTTTTTTCAAAAAGTAACTATTCTGACACTTTCCTACGATGAATATATATTCAATATACTGTACATACTGTACCAGCTTTGCTTATTATACCCATATATTCTCACGTAAAATTGATTTTTTTTTGTGGCTGAAAAAAACAACATGGCTTTCAAATCTGCCAGTGCCATCTTGGTTGTTTACAAAAAATGAAAACACTGACATGACCTTTGAACTGTTGAACTTTCTGTTTTCCGGTGACCTGCGCAAACTTCACGATGAGATAGATAACAGCATAAGGAACATTTCGATACAGTATAATAATGTTATATTATCATAACTTTTCATATTTTTTTTGCCACCAACTGGATTTTGAAAGATACTAGGGTACGGTTTTCGCACGACCTTGGACGGGCGCTAGGCAGATATAATGATTAATGGATTTTACATCGCGGATAAGTTAGTTAGCGTAGGATCTGTGAGTGCGGTGAGGGTGACTGAAGTGGCTTGTAGGCCTAGAGGATTTAGCTTATACCCCCCTCAAAGTTCTTGATCAATAACAAAAATTTTATTTTGTAAAGGAATAATTTCTGCTTAGTTGAAAATTTTTTTATTTTGGCTATTGACTGAGTATTTTTAATTTTTTTTTTTAATTAGTTATAAAAAATAATTATAGAAATTAATTAAAATAATAATTTTTTTTTAAATTTCACAAAACTATAACAGCTTTTGTAGGAAAAACTTTGTATTATCTTCCAATTGTTATCAAACAAAATTGTATTACCCTTGTAGAAATAATTTTAATTAATTTATTATTATATCACTAAAAAAATATTGCGCAGATCATACCTCAACTAACTGAAATTTGCATGGAAAAGCACTGGGAAAATACGGGTGCAATACATTGGCTGTTCAGAATAGGTCGACATGCTAATTTTGGCAAAAAATCAGCATGGAAACCACCCAGATTTTCGAAATGCACGGATGGATTTCTACAGTAGACCTAATTTTTGAGAGCGGTGGATATACTCCTTGCACAGGAATTACAGTCTAGCAACCATATGTAAATATTGTTAAAATACTGTACTGTGCGTACACCAATGCGCGATATATTCATATCAAACAGATTAAAATACACTAAGCACTCTAGCTCACTATACTAAATTTAAGAATTATTTATAAGCATTTTAGAATATTTCTTCAACCTTGTTTTTCGAAAGTGTAAACACATTTTTACAATGACTCACAAAATATTATGTAGATATTTACAACTTCATCTCAAGCACCTCTTCAAAATCATGACTTGGCAATCAGTGATCATCACTTTTGGCTGACCACTAGAACGAATTTCACAACTTGTATATTAATGTATCACTGGTGAATTAGTATAGATTTTTATTTTGACTGAATTTAATTGTAATGTCTAAACATGAAATAATTGGAAAATATGACACAAATTTGATTTCCATATGTCTATGTGTGTGTTTAGATGGCAAAAAATTATTTTCACTGATGAATTTTGTACATTAATTAGTGTAGGACTGCCTTACCTCGATTTTAAACCCTTCATCAGACATAAAAACTGCAGATATGATATTTTCATTGCTAGTATTGACATTATTTTACTGTACTTTTAAATAATTTTTCAAACTTATTGAAACCAATTAAGATAAAGAACTTAAAATAGGAAATAATTAAATTAAAGTAAACATGTGAATATAAAATGCATACCAATATTTTCATTCTGCATATAATTAATTATGTTGTATTTATGATTTAAATTGATATATTTGACCAAATTTAGATATTTTTTTTCTGTAATTACATTGTGTAATTTGTATGCATTGACCAAACCAGTCACAGTCGCAAAAAAATGGGAGCTACAGTATGAAATGGTAAAAAAGAATCATTAAAATCCGACATTTCCTTTTAAAAGTTAAAGTGTTTCAACATACAGCTGTTAAAAGAACAATATTTGAAAAAATCAGCCTCTAAAATTTATTATTTCGGGCATTTCAAAGACAGAAACCATCACTAAATTGTTAAAAATAGTTTTAACATTGAAAATGGGAAAAATAACAGGAAATTAAAATGTAATGCAAGTTAAGACAGTGAACAAAGTCATACATTTTAAAGGTATTTAACCATTGCCAAGGCATGATCACACTGCTCTAAGACCATTAAGAAAAAATAATAGAATCATGAAAGTTAAATTCTAATAATCTGGCGTACCCCCACATTTTTTGCAGACACCCTGCGGACCCCTTTGCCTTGGCGGACCACCAATTATTTTTTGCGGACCCCAGGTTGGGATCCACTCTTCTATGTTTAATAAAATTAATAAATTTTTACGCTAGTCATCAGAATTTATTTAAGTCATAAAGCTTATAATTTTTCATTAAAATCTTAGCCTTGTACAGCACATGATTCAATATTTTTAAGCCGCTTTGTTCGGCTTTTTAACAATTAAGATGTTCTGCCGGCCTAAAACGATGAATAGGTTACTTTAAAGGAAAAGAATCAAATACTGGATAACATTTCTACAGAATGATTACCAGCCAAGAGTCCCTACAAAAGAATTTTTTACTTTTTTTCCCTCATGGCAGCAGTGCAAATATTTGTAAATAAAGAAGGTTGTCAGTGTAGTTTTGCAAACATTACAATAAAACGTTGATGCTAAGATTATGAAGATTGCTAAATTAACGACAGCAGGTGATAGACAAAAGATGAAACAAACAAACAAGTCACCAGTCCTTCAGTTCAATTGTTATTGCTACATAAAAGTCATATCTGCTGCAGACAATAAAATACAAAGAGATCAAGACTATCATCATAATTAGGGAGATACAATAATTTTCTAATAAGACGTCGATCCCTCTGAGTCAGCATTGACTACAAAAAATATGCATTGCGTTTAGGTGGCCTAAATAACAATCAATGTGCATTTGCATTTATTATTATTTTTATTTGCTAACTTTTATCAGTATTTGAGATTTCAACCTGCAATTTGGTAGAAAGAAGCTGTATGTACGAAGTATGTACTGGTACTGGTACTTGTAGCCGTCTGATTTCAGACATTTGGCAGCCATTGACATTATGTTGGCATTAAAAGACTGCATTATTGTGATGAGGGACCTGTGTACAAACAATTACCAAACACAAAAAATATGGAAAACTGAATGCTATCTACAAAATATTCTATTTAATGCTTATGGGTGAAACTTTACAGTTACATTTACTTTAGAGTTAAATATTATTGCATGTGATGTCTCTGCCGGCAACTGCAAAACATACAACTCATTACCGAAATGTTGATGATGTCATAATTTACACTAGCCAATCAGCAAAATATATAGATATCGGCATATTGCCGGTCGCTGGCATAATAAACACTTCCTAAAATATTTTAATTGCACAGATAATACCTCAATGCAAAAACTGAACTGAAATTTGTGTGGAAAATTGCTAGGAAAGTAGGGGTGTAGAATTGTAACCTCTGCATAGAACATTTTTTATGTCATTATCCATTGCTAATGTTTGGAAAATTCTGCACAGAAATCGGCTCTGATTTTCCGAAACGCGCGGAAGGATTTCTAGGCCTAATTTTTGAGCAGAGGATATATTCTTTGAACAGGCCTTACAGTAAATATTGTTAAAATATTGGTTACTACAGGTATATACACCAATGCGCGATATATTCATAATGAGAAGATTAAAATACACTGAGCACTCTACCTCACTAAACTAAATTTAAGAATTATTTATAAGCATTTTAAGAAAATTTTTTTTATTTATTTATTTTTTTTATTTTTTTATTTTTGTTGTTTTGAATGTGTAAATTACATTTTTACAAATTTGTAAGTAATTGTTCAAAGCTTAATAACTTGAATTATTTGGCAAAAAGTATACAGAAGAAAAATAACATGTATTGCCCAGATGGCGAACAAGATGGCTCACAAAGATGTAGATATTCACAACTTAATTTCGAATACCTCTTCAAAATCATGCTCGGCAGTTAGTGATTATGGGCATTTCCACGGTAACTAAATGACATTCTGACACAGATTTGTACTTTCAAACACATGTACCACAAGGTACTTTTGCCAATAAACTAAAAAAAAATACATTTTTTCATAACAAATAGCTTCCTAAGAAAGTATAATACATACTCCAAGTATTGAAATACACGCCATCGTGTTGGGATTCAATATTTCGACATTAATTATGTCATCATCAGGAATGAATAGCTTCCTCTATATACAGAATGAATTTTGTTTTAAAAATCACTTTCCGTCATAAAAAAAATTATATTAATATGAGTGGTAACTAAATGACGTGAATCTGACATGGGTTTTATACCTATTGTACATTTAATTAAAAATCTGTGAATTTAGAGACCTAATTTTATACAGTATCAAGAGCAATCCTTAGGGTATAGCAATGAATCTAATACCTTTTATTTTGAAAAAAAATTATTTATCATAAATATATGGTGATATTTATTAACAAGACTCCGGTAACTAAATGAAAAATAATTTAGGCAAATGCAATTTGGATGTTTTATTATGATTTTAGATGTTTTATTATGATTTAAACACATATTTTTAAGGTAATTGGTTAATTAATATCAAAACAATAGGATATCAAACTAAATATGAATGTTTAATAAAAATTAATTTATTAAAATTGATTAAAAAATGAAAGGGTTATTTCACGCCGATTTTAACAAATGCATTACACCATGGGACATCATTTTTTTTTCTCTCCACTTTTTCTACTCTGACATATTCATATTCATGAGAAATGGAAAACTTAAAAATTTGAGAATCCAATTCTTGTTCGTTTTTCTACAGCGGCAGTTTAAAGTGTAGGGGCGGGCGTGCCTCGAAATAATGCGCAACAGAAATGAAAATTGATTTTTATATGCTAATATCTTCAGAAGTACAACCCCCATAACTCTGAAAGCTTGTGTACAGGACCATGGTAGGACATACTTTCAATACTGATTCCAAATCTATAATCAGAAAAGTTGGAGCATGTAATGATTAGAAAAAGCAAATGTCTGAAAATTGGACGAAAAGTTGTCTGGACCATTGTTCAAGTGGCTATAACAGGAAGACTTAAACCTTTTTAAATCTCCATATTTTGAGGAATCATAGCCCACCATTATTTCACATCATTACAGACTTTATAAACTTAACCAATTGGCTAAAATACAACCATCCAAATGAGCCAAAAAGTATTTTTAACAGCCTGCCGCCTCTCTTCCTCCCCCACCCCATCCAAAAACAAAATCTCTGACATCAGCAATATCGTAACAAAAATGTCTTGATATGTTGAAGAGGTACCCCTAATGAAATTATAACAATTTTGATGTCCTTAACCCCGGTTTTAACACATCCTCAACATAATACGTATTTAACCATATTCGCATCGGATTAAATTTGACCAAGCTAACAGGGAAACTCAAAAGCTTTGCAATGTGTGTGGTATTAGCATGTGCTCTGAGATACTATGCTAAGTCATACTATCCATACTGAATTTTCTAGATCGGTAAAAATAGCCTGGTCAATCTTCATGCATCTGGGCCACGACACACTTCGTTCAGCAATAAAAGTAGCCGAGATGCTGGTTAGCCAGTGCAAACAAGCTATAGACCTTTGGCAGGAAAGTATCCAATCACAAATGATGAGTGAATAATTAAATTTTTGTCACAAAATTGTAAAGTCTATTTATTTCAAATAACAACACCAAAACCAGACTTAAATAGTAACAGGCCCTTAGTCTGAGAATATACCAAATAAGATACTGATCATTTGCATAATAATTAAGCTATTCAGTGGAAATTGTTAGAATACTTTATTGTGTAAGACTCAAATAACATCCTTGTGAGTACACAAACTTGAAAATTCATTCAATAACATACTTTATTGCAAATAAACTGAACTGTTTCAATACAAATTTTGACTTGTCATTGTGTTACCGTCATTTAGTTACTGGCTCGGTAACTAAATGACATATTTAATATGCTAATAACTTATTAACAAAAATGAATTAGGAAATAAAATTAATGCCACTAAATAGCCCTACTAAAACTAGCTTTGTATATAAAGTTGTATTGTTTAATCATTTATATTTTTTGTAAAAAGTAACTTTATGTTGTTTTCCGGTAACTAAATGACATATTTATTGGTTTTAATATTTTCCCATTTTGATTAATGAAACATGAGGCAAAAGTAAAACTGAATGAAAATATGTTCTTAGTTAGCCATTTGACCATTTTAATATAATTTCAAGTTTTATCTTAGTCTATTTTGGTAAGTTTGTATGTGAAATTTTATCAAAATAAAAAAAATTATTTATTGACATATTTTAATTAATATTTAACAATACTTCTGATTTGAAATTTGAAAATCTGGGTTTACATCTTGAAAGTATATGTTTCAAGCTTTAGACACCAAAACTGTAAATATAGAATGAATATGAAAATTTAGGTGCTTTGTCCATTTTGCATAGAATTGCCCTTATCATCGCTTTTGGCTAACCACTGAAAAGGATTTCATGACTTGTGAAATTGTCATCTTTAACAGAATTAAAGTGAAATGTGCGAACATGAAAAAATTGAAAATGGCAAAGACAAACCAAACCAGTCACTCGTCGCAAAAAAAATCTAATTTTATTACTGCAGTTAATACAGAGTTAAAGAGTGAAATGGGAGCTATGAAATGGTAAAAGAATCATTTAATCCGACATTTCTGTATGATACAGTTAGAGCTGTTCAAAAACAATATTTGAGAAATCAACCTTCAAAGTTTATTATTTCGGGCATTTCTAAGGCAGAAACTGTCACAAATCATTAAAAATTGTTGTTTTAAAACATTGAAAATGGGGAAAATAACAGCATAGCTTGATTTATAGTATATAAGGTTAGTAATAGTGCAATAAAATAGATTTTTAAAAATTTGACATTTCAGCATGTTTTGACCATTATCTCTAAAACATGATTTGCAATGGTTTGACTTTTTTCAACATTTAATGTTGGTAAAGTAATTGAATAATACTAAATTAGCAATAAAACATTTTGATATTTATTGTATATTTGAAATTCTTCATCTTTAATCTAATTACTTGGTCATTTATTTTGCAGTAGAAATTCTGAAGAAACATGGACATCAATAGTTCCTCCTTTTGCAACGAGTCAACCTGCCCTGCTAGCCAGTATTACTGTGTTGCTTCCTCTACTGAATGGTGAGTGTGATGGCAAAAGTTTATGAATGTTTAAATATTATAAATTTCATGTCCATTGCAAATTGTGTCCATTGCAAATTGCTTTGTGGGATAAATACGTACCTAAAAAAGTTTGTTTTACATATGAGGTGAATTGTCTATAATACTGTAGTAATAATAGTAATTTTTCCCCCCTGTAAGCATAATAATCATTTTGGTTGTCAGTATTACAGTGCAACATATATTTCCCTATTTCATAATGAAATTTTAATAAATAACTTTAAAATAATGTTTGTTTATGAAATACAATTTAACTATAATAGCAATATAGCAATGCTTTTAATATCTTCATATGAAAATTAAATAAAATGCAATAACTAATGCAACCTACAATTTACAACAATAATTTTCTCGTAATTCATAGACAAACTTAAAAATAAATAATTTTGAAATATTAAATATTTAAAATTGCATTTATTTGAATTATTAAAAATATATTTAGGCTATTTGGTCATAAATTAACTGTTAATGAATATATTTTGAATTTATTTAGGCAATCAAATTTAGGCTTTAAATTTTTCGGTTAGGGTTTGGATACCATTTATATTATTATTAGCAGTAATTGATGTCACTTTTGATGAATAAAACGTGTGTATACTTTATTGGTTGCATTAATATCAAAGGTCCTCAGTATAAAATACCCAAGGCACCTAAATAATATATGTTAAACCTGTAGGCAAAACATTAATGTACGTCTGCACGTAATCAATGCTATTTAAGGCCCAAAATCAAAATATTTTTAGTACAGAGAAGCTGTAATACTTTAAATTGTATCAGTTACTGATCTGTTTTTATCATAAAAAATAACAACAATAATAATGATATTAATTACAAATTTCTATATAGTGCCAATTCCAAATTGAATTTACCAAAGACACTGAGCCATTGGGCTTAGTTACTGAATAACACATAATGTTAATAGTTTTTGACATGGCCTCATTTGTTTAACATGCCATAGCCAATTTTGGTGCAACCCTTTCTGTAAAAATTTGATGAAAAGGTAATGTAAATTATTGTATGCTTTTAATTGCAAAATTCTTTGTGGCTTATTTTGCAATGGACATTTCAATTGTTGATAACGTTCCCATTACTTCACTTTGTTACTTATGTTTTAATAATTGTTTGTCAATCGAGCTTTCTATTAAATTTATTGTATTGAATGTTAATAGTAAATTGTAAAAAAGAATTGTTGATAACTTTAAATATGTTCCCTCTACTCTGGACTTTAAATATTTTAATTACAAATATATTCCCTTTCACTGGATATATAAATTGTTTAAGTTACCGGTACTTTGCATACTGTTTTAATTGTTTGTTAATCAATCTTTTGATTTGAATTTTAGTAAATTGTAAAAAAGAATTGTTTAAATTTAAATATTTTCCCTCTGCTCTGGACTTATAAATTGTTACTTTGCATACTGTTTTAATAGTTTGTTAATCAAGCTTTTGATGTGAATTTTAGTAAATTGTAAAAAAGAATTTACTTGTTTTAATAATTATTTTCCCTTTCCATTAGAAAGAATTGAAATAAATATTCATTGTATTTAATTTAGTATTCTTGTTTATTCATTGTAAAAAAGAATTGAAATAAATAAATATTCATTGTATTGAATTATTTCTTGTTTCTTCATTGTTATCAATTGTAAAAAAGAATTCATTGTATTTAATGAAGTATTTGAACCAGCAGCAGGATGGTAAAAAAAAAAAGCGCCCTCGAATAAAAAAGGCCCTAAATATGACTAAGTTATTTGGCCACAAAAATCTTGGGATTCCTGGTAAAAATAGTGAAGAAAAGCGCCCTCTAATAGCCTTTTCAATCCAAAGTTTTTTGGCGTCTCTTAATTGTCAATGGCGATGAG